CCTATATAATATGCACTGTTGCTTAGTATTAAAATGATAGCTTCAGATGCATGATATTTGTAGGGCCCTATGAAATTCGTTTTATTTTTCCCAAATTAGCCTAAGTTTTATTTTTTCCAAAATCTTTTTTTCCGTTTTAATTTTTCTGGATTCAGTTTTTTTTTTTTTTTCGTTTGAATTTTTCGGGGATGATTATATAAAATTTGAACAAAAACATGTCTAATTAATTAAAATCATGAAACTTGTTTAATTTAACAGCAATTCGGGCCTATTAAAAGTTTAACAAAAATTACATTCTTAGGGCCCAAATTCTGCGCTTTCTTTTTTTTTTTAATTTAAATTTTTCTGTATTCCATTTTAATGGTTTAATCAAAAACATATCTAATTAATTGAATTCATAAAAACAACTTAATTTATAAATTTTTATACAATAATAGGGCCCTATGAAATTAAAATTTTATTTACTTATTTTTTTAGAAATTCTGTGTTGTGTATTTTAATTTTTCTGGTAGTCAAATGAAGGCAAAAACATTAATCTATCTTTTATTCCAATGAAAATTAAACAAACCCTTTAATTTTTGTACATTCAAAATGCTACACAACATAAGTTTACTGTGTAACGAGCAATGTCACGGAATTCGTCAAATATTGAATTAATAAATCAAATGCAATTCAGTACACTTCAATCAAACCGCGATATGGACTAGTGTATGTGAATATTAAATGGCAAAAATACTATTTAGCTACTACAGACGACAACCGCGAGCGTTGCGCGTGCTTAAATAGCAAACTAGCAAACGAAACGCGCGTCTGCGCCTTTCATTCCGCGTTACACAGTAAATTCCGTTTTTATGAATAGATTCCGTCCCCATTTTCTACATCGCCCTACTTTTGCTAAGAAGCACGTTCCACGCGGACGCACAGACGGTTGTCGTGGTAATGAACACCACAGCAACCACTTGTGCATCAGCACTGAACGTGCATCTCGCATATAAAAAGCATTTTAGGGGGCCCTTGGCTTTTGGGAGCCCAAGGCGGTCGCCTACCTTTGCCTAATGGTTAAGTCCGCCTCTGGTCTGTGGTTTCGGAATTTGTTTTGGGTGTATAGGCTATATACAGAAAAAAAGGGGCTAAAATTGCACCTTTTGGGGTACAACAGTTTGTCACTGTAGCAGTACTCTTAAAAGGACATATTTGTTCCTTTTTACCCCTTATAGGTAGGCCTACAAATGAGTACCTTAAGGGTACCAATTACTACTCTAAGGTACTAATATGTTCCTATAAGGGGGTA